TCAAATGCTGCCTGTTTTCCGTTGCGGTTGCATGGCCTTTTTGTGTGCGATGTGATTCAGCTGCTTGCGGTAGAGTCTGATGAAAGAGATGCTCTCGTGGTCCTTGCGTCCACGACTACTGTCAGCGGTGCCATTTACTTTGAACGGAACCAATAATACAGAAAGAGAAAAGGTATTGCACATCGCAAGTGCGTCGAGGTTAATAACACTTTCAAACGCATTGATAATTATTCTAACGTGTTGAGTATAGCATCGCTCAGGAAAAATCTTCTTGACAAACTGAAAAAATATTTCACCATGTCATTTTCCGTAGCCGCCCCGCTGCCTCCGCGGGAGCCGCCATGGCCCCACTTTGCCTCCGTTATTTCCCCCGTTGGAGCCGCCGTTTGAGCCGCATAAACCGCCGCCGTTTCTCCGTTATTTCCCCCGTTGAATCCTCCGTTTGGAGCCGCGATAACTAACCGGCGTTGCCTCCGTTATTTCCCCGCTGAAGTCCTCCGTTTTTTTTTTTTTTTTTTGGAGCCGCCATAACCGCCGCCGTTCCTTCCGTATTTCCCCCGTTGGAGCTCGTTGAGCCGCCATACCACTGCCCGTTGCCTCCGTAGTTCCCCCGCTGAAGCCTCCGTTTGGGCCGCCATAACCACGCTGTTGACCTCCGTTATTTCCCCCGTTGGGCCTCCGTTGGAGCCGCCATAACCGCCGCCGTTTGCTCCGTTGTATTTCCCCGTGAATCCTCCGTTGGAGCCGGCCATAACCACCGCTGTTGCCTCCGTTATTTCCCCCGTTGGACTCCATCCTTTGGACCCGCCCATAACCGCCTCCGATTGCATCCGTATTTTCCCCCTTTGGGAGCCGCCAAAACCGCCGCCGATTGCCTCCGTTATTTCCTCCATGAGCGCCCCATTACCTCCGTTATTCCCCCGTTGAACCACCAAGCTCCCCCTCCGTTGCCATTGCTTGGGAGCGCCTAAGTGGAAGCTAACTGTTGCTTGGCCGACTCCATTTTTGGGGTTGACGTTGCCAGAACTTCCGTTAGAGCCACTGGGACCCCCGCCCCGTTGCTTCCGTTTCCGTTCCTTTGGACCGTACCGCCACCGTTGCCTCTGCTTCCCCCGCCATTAGACCCATATCTCCTCCGCTGCCTCCATTTCCCCCTCCGTTGGGCCTAGCCTCCTGCGTTCCTCCATTCCCCCTCCGTGAGCCATATCCTCCTCCGTTCCTCTCATTTCCTCACTCCTTTTGAGCCATAGCCTCCTCCGTTGCTTCCATTTTTTCCCCCTCCGTTGGAACATAGCCTCCTCCGGTGCCTCCTTTCCCCCTCCGTTGGCCATACCTAATCTCGCGTGCCTCCATTTCTCCATCCGTGCCTCCTTTCCCTCCGCTGACTATAGCCTCCTCCGTTGCCTCCGATATTTTCCTCCGCTGGAACCATGAGCCTCCTCCCTTTGCTCAAATGAGCCTTGGCTTCCGCTGCCTCTCTGCCGCCACCTGCCGTGGCTTCACGGCCTGAGGTCGCCGACGCTCCTCTCCGTTGCTGCTGCCGCCCGAGGAGCTGAGGCTCGCCAGCCATGGCCGCCACGAACCGCCACAAAACGCCACCACAACCGATCAGCCCTCTGTTGGTGTGAAAGCGGGTAATTACTCCATTTGGTCTCATTGTTCCGTAAATTATTTTTTGAGGCACTCCTTTGTTTTCTACTTTACCTTGTTGTGGCAGATGCTCGTCGTATCATGATTACCATAACTACCCTGTATTCATTTCCTCCGCTGTAGCATACCCGTTGTCAGTTGCACCAGTTATAATATATAGAGCTAAAGTCATTCTTATATAGTACAAATCTTAATTAGAAACGTGATAATCTTAACATAGTGTCTGTTGAACTGGACTACAGCAGACTGCTTACTGCTGATAGTCATTGCTGATGTGAGCTTTTATATCGATCATAGAACTCCATTCACAACCCCTCCCCCCTCTCGGCCTCACGCCGACCCTCATATGATCACCGGCAATTGGAGATGGTTGCCACTTTTGTTTATGCTGCGTATATCTTTGTTGCAAGCGTGCAAGGCTGAATTTGCTGAATCTAAACAAATGCAATCACTAATGATAGTGAGTTACTATAAGCTTCTAACACTGGGATAAGTTCCACGAAACGTGAAAAGAAACGTCATATATAGCCGTTTGCCACGAAACCTGACCAGACTGTTGTCATGACGCCCTTCTATCAATTAGAAATCCATAATAGTCCGAACGCGAATGAGACTCACCGCAGAGAAGGATTTAACTGCTATTCAATTTTACAACCACACAAACCGTCACGGCAAAGACTTTTAAAGAATGTCAATTATATCAAGATTTCAGATTAGGGCAAACTAATTTGAATTCACTCTTTCTATTTCTCTCTCTCGTTGTTACTTTATAGACCCTCATACTCCACACACACTACACACACAAACACACATACAAACAAACACACAACACACGACACACCCACACACATCACCACACTATACAGATATATTATATATAAATATATATAGTATATATATAAATATCATATATATATGTGTGTGTGTGTGATGTGTGTGTGTGTGTGTGTGTGTGTGTGTGGTGTGTGCGCGTGTGTGTGTGGCCAGATATTCTTTTCTATCTCTCTATATTTTGTCTGTGTGTGTCTGCTATATCCTTGTCTATAGAGATAAAATATTATAGGATTATTATATATAATATATATTATATATATATATATATACAATTGATATTTATGCATATATATGCATATCTGTACATGTTTATATAGTAGCTGTTTATATACATACTATATATAGATGATATATGATAGATAGATAGATAGATATAATAATAGATAGATATATGCACCACACACCCACCCACACACACACACAGTAACACACACGCACACACACACACACACACTGCACACATATAATATATAATATATATATATATTATAGATATATATATATATTTCTACATATATATATATATTCGATATACTTATATATTATATATATATAATTATATACATATTACTATTGATATATAGATCTATATTTCATATATATATATATTATATTATATAGTTATATATATATATTATATATATTATATATATATATATTATGTATATATATAGATATGTTATATCTATAATATATATAGATATAGATATAGATATAGATATAGATATAGATATAGATTCTATTATATATGTTTGTGTGTGTGTGGTTGGTGTGGTGTATACTAAAGCAATCTATACCTTAGTACATATATGCATATATATGCGTTATATATACGTATATATATACATATATATATATAATATATATATCTATATATTGTGTGGTGTGTGTGTGGTGTGGTAGGGTGTGTGTGTGTGTGTAGTATACTATCTACTATATAATATATATATATATATTATATATATTCTATTATATATATCATATATCTCTATTTATGCATTATGTACATGTTATATTCTGTATAGGTTATATACATACATATTTATAGAGATCGCATAGATAGCTAGATAGATAGATAGATAGATAGATGAGAATAGATAGCGTAGTATCGATATAGATATATAGATAGATATAGATATATGCACACCCACACACCCCACACACACACACACACATCACACGCACACACACACACCACACCACCCTATATATATATATCTATATATATATATATATATAATATATATATATACATATGTATCCCGCTTATATATGCAGATATTACATATGTATATATATATGTTATATGTATAACACACACACACACCCACACATATATATAGATAGTAGATATTAGATAATAGATAGATGTATATACACACATACATATATTAGCTAGATATACACCCACACAGACACACACAACACACACACACACACACACACATATTATATATTGAAGTATATATATATCTACTAATATAGATATATATATATATATATATATATGCATATATATGTGTGTGTGTTTTGTGTTGAGTGTGTGTGTGTGTGTGTGTGTATAATATACATCCATATGTACATATAGACTGCATTATTGTATATATGTATATATATTATATATATATTATATATATAATACATATGATATATATATGATACTATATATATCTATTATATATATATCTTAATATATACACACTACATCTATATGCATGAGGTCATATGTATATATATTTGTAACATGTTGGTATATATCTACATATATATGATATATATATATATTATATATATATGTATATACATTATATATAATATATACCCACATGTATTTGTGTGCGTGTTATATACATATAATATATTACTATGTAGCATATATATGTGTTAATGTATATATTATATATATATCTATATATATATAATATATATCTGATTATATGATATATATGTGTGTGTGTTGTGTGTGTTGTGTGTTAGTCCATATATCTTTCTATCTCTCTATATTTGTATTGTGTGTATGCAACACACACACACCAGACACACACACCACACCATTATAATATATATATATATATATATATATATAGATATAATATATTAGATATATCTATATACGCACACATATATATACATACTATAATATACATATATGCACACACACACGCACACACACACCCCCACACTCACACACACACACACGACACACACACACACACACACCACAACACACTACCACACACACACACATATATTATATATATATCATATATAATATATCGCATACTATATATACATATATGCCACACACACGCACACACACCATAATACACACTCACACACACGAAACACTCACACACACACACCACACACACACACACACACACACACACACACACACACACATATATATATATATATATATATATATATATATATATATATATATTATATATTATATATATATGTATGTACATGGAAAAAAATACCTGACTACACAGCAACATACTTGCTTATACACACCACTCTCTGCTTCGCTAAACTGTGAAACGATGTGTTTCAGACTCAAATATCTTTATTATCATTATTATTATTATTACATCCATTGTTTCTTGATGTTGAAAGTGGAAGTATGTTGGTTGAAACTTTGCGTCGTATTGCATTCACCACAAGTGATCTTCACGTTCATACATATAGAGTCACGAATCTTAGACAACTATATGATTCCAAGGACCTTTTTTTTTATCTTAGATCATGTACAATGTGAATGGGTCAGATACAAAACCTTTCCTTTGATGTTCTTGAGCCTGTAAAGTGATATGGTAATGGTTCAGGACGAATGTGAAGATATCCTAGGTCAATGGTTTAGTCATATGACCCGGACGCGTTAGAAATTCTTACCATGTCGTTTTAGGGATCGCCCTTATTGACTTACTTTACTTTACTTACCTTATTGATTTACATATATATATATATATATATATATAGAGAGAGAGAGAGAGAGAGAGGAGAGAGAGGATGCATTTGATGTATTGCTAAAAAACGCACAGAAACACTTTATGAACCTGTAAAAAAAAAAAACAAAAAAAAAAAAAAAAAAAAAAAAAAAAAAATTAAGAATATAACACTTCCTAGCCGTATTTAATGGAAATTATAAATCCCAATCTGACACGTATATGAAATATATATAAAAAAAATATCGCGAACTGATTGTATCAAATAGAGGCATACAAACAAAATATGTTTCAACAGGATGTTCCCGTAAAGGGCAAAATTGTGTGAAGATGCATCAGATTATAAAGCCGTTTTTGTAGCATCTCTCCGAAGCCTCTACAATTTCAATATACATTGATGCATCGCCTAACACTATAACGGTCTTTTTTTTTAATTATGGTCAAATTAAGAAAAACATCTAGGATAATTTTTCAGGTTACAAAGGCAACATCAATCCATATATTAGTGTTTGTAGTATAACGGAGCTACAAAAAATCTTATGTATGCATACAACAGCACACGTGTGTATATGTGTATGTATATAAGTATATATATATATATTATATATTATATATATATATATATCATCATCATCATCATTGGGGGCTAACGCCGGTAGGGGCGCATAGCCGCGTCCACCCTTACGTTTCCACCTGCGATGGTCTCTCATGGCGAGCCGCCAGGCAGGGGCCCGGCCCATCTCTAGTTCCTCACGACAGGTTTGATCGAGTCTGCCCAAGCCATGACCTTCTTGGTCGTCCCACAGGCCTCCTCCACCCAGGGTTGTCATCGAACAGAGACAACCTGATGGGCAGGATCATCCTGCGGGAGTCGAGCCAAGTGGCCATATAGCCTGAGTTGGCGATCAACAGGATTGTGCAAGTAACAGGTCCTGTACCGGTCTCACGGTGTAGCTGTTGGTTGGACACGATGGTCCCAGCCAACTGTACCCCATGATCCGGCGCAAGGATCTGTTACAAAAGGCATCGAGACGAGATTCCAAAGCACAAGATAGCGTCCCAAGTTTCACTACCATATAGTAAAACTGGCAGTATCAGGCCTTGAAAACTCGTAGCTTGGTCCTTCTGCACAGGTACCGGCATCTCCAAATACTCTTGTCGAGAATTTCATGACCCCTGCTGCCAGGCCAATCCGTCTACTGACTTCGTGGTCTGACAGCCCAGAATCATGAACTGCACTACCGAGGTATATAAAACTCCTAGTGACTTCGATGTTTTCAACCGCAAATCACGGACCGACTGCACAGGGTCTCCGATTAAGGCCCCCCAAATCCTGGATCTTGGTCTTGGTCCAGGATACCTCTAGCCCCAGGGGCTTCGCTTCATT